GTTTATTGTGAACAAAATTTGTAGTAATATTTTGTAAATATTACTATAAATATTACACATAAAAAAAATAAATATAATTATTTATTAAATTAATTAAGAAATAAGAAAATCGAAATTTAAATTGGTAATATACACTAAAAAAAATTTTTAAATCAAAGAAATATATTATGTTAAATATAATTTCTTAACTTAAAAAAATATTTGTTAGATTTTAGAGAATAAGTAATAAATATAAAGAAATATTTTTTTAAATTTGTAAAATAAGCTGTAAAATTATGAATTTTTAAATAAAAAGAATGGTTTCTTTGATTTAAAATATCTATTGTTACGTCTTAGTTGTTTTTTTAAAACGTGTTTATTGTCCTTTTTGGGTCAATGGATTTAACCACTTTACCCCGGGATGGACAAGTTCGTGTGATTGTAAGTGAGTAAATATGTAAACGTATGTGTGTATAAAATAATGATTTTACTTACTGATTCTGGTTTTGTTTTGATTCTTTTAAGTAATTTTAAATTATTTTGAAGTCCTTCTCATACTGTAGTTTCAGAGAGACTGAAGAGCTTAGGATCGGACTTAAGAGGTTGGTGAAGGTTTGGGAATATGAGTAAAGTGTAACACGACGCTTAGGTCAGGGGATATGTTAGGAAAACAAACCTTTATCTATCCAATAACTTATTTACGATTTTTAATGTTTTATCTTAGTGATCCAATTGTTATGTATATTGTTTGTGTGATGATTTTTAATTGATTGATTGATTGTCTGATTGATTGACTGGCTGAATGACTGACTGTTTGTCTTATCTGACTTCTAGTCTGACTTCTTGTCTCTAGAGGTGTGTGGGCAGTCGCACCCGTTTTTATAGGCAGATGGCGAGATACCCCCGCGTGAGTTCTCACCACCTTTTAGTAGAAGGGGAAAGATGCTTCTCACGACATGTGAGTAATAATCAATAGTTAGATTTTGACACCTTATTATCAATCCATTGTTCATCGACCACCCAGGGCATTTATTGCATTCCTGGTGGTAACAGAAGGTGCGCTTGATCGAATTAAAGAGAAGTTACGTCGGACGTAACATTATATTTAAGAATAAGCAAATGATTTCCTTATACAAGAAGAAAATTAGTTTTTTTAAATGTAAAAACTGTGTTTAAATAAATATTCGCTTGTTTTAAAAGTAAATAAAATACGAGTAAATTATTTTAGAAATCTAAATAAATTATTTTCTTATATTAAAAGTATCTTTTTTGTGTTTCAAATTAAATTTTATAAATCTAAATAATTTTCTTATATTAAAAGTATTTTTTTTGTGCTTCAAATTAAAGTTTCTTTTATTATCAGAATGCAATGTTGCAGAGACATAGTAGTCCCTTATAGAAATATCATACTAAGAATCATTGACAATTACTTATTATCCAGTATTTTTAATACTGAAAATAAGTAATTATCAATAATTCTTAGTATGATATTTCTATAAGGAGAGTGAATGAAGTATCTAAGAAATGTAAATTCTACTTGTTTACACTTCTTTAATACTTCGTGGAACGTCTCATTTTCGCCAGGGCTGAGTCGAAGTTAGCAGTCTAGTAGTATATAGAAGTCTGTAGTCCAATCGTACAGTAGTCCAATCCAGCGGTGACCAATCGAACGGTGTCCAATCGAGCAGTGCGTCAATCTTACCGTGTCCAATCGTGCAGTGTGCCAACTAGGCGGTGTCCAATCGTGTAGTGTCAAATCGAGTAGTCTGTTAATTTTATGGTGTCCAATCGTGCAATGTGCCAATTTTGTGGTGTCCAAATACGCGGTGTCCAATCGAGCTGTATCCAATCGCATGGTGTCCAATCGCACAGTGTCCAATCGAACTGTGTCCAATCGCATTAAACGGGATACGCTCTTAAAGGCCAAATCACACTAGTGATTGGCGATTGATGATTGGCGATTGAAAATTGGAACTTGACCAATTGGAACAAAGCAAGCCAAGGTTGAAGCTTGTTGAATCGTCAAAATCTAATCTTTAATCATCAATCGTCAATCGTCAATTGCTAGTGTGATTTGGCCTTTATACAAAATCAGTTTATTGGTTACATATTAGGTTTGTTTGCGTCGCATGCCCCAACGTGCTCCTACTCGCTCCAACGCACTCTGATTGGTCCGCGTGATGACGTAAACCAATCAGAGCGAGCGAGTAGGAGCACGTTGAGGCATGCGACGCGAACAAATCTATTATCTAATATATCTTGTAAGATAATATGTAACTAATAAACTAGTTTTGTGTAACAATGGGTGTTTTCGTTAAATCGAGTACGAGGTAGTTACACTAGAAAAGTCGAAAAGTGTAATAGGCACAATCATATAGTATCTTCATGGTTTAAGACAACTCAGTATTGCTTTCCGATGCTTGAGTAGAGTTATGGCTCCTTCACACAGGACGCGGTAATGCTTGCCGCGCGGCGAAAGTCCGCGCGACAGCCAATCAATATGTTGTTTTTCCGTAAGAGCTAGAAGATTATTACGGAAAGCAGCATATTGATTGGCTGTTGCACGAACTACCGCCGCGCGGCAAGCATTACCGCGCGTCCTGTGTGCAAGAGTCATTAGTTAGAGCTAGCTAGAGTAGCATAGCGAATAACATGAGCATCAGGTAGTTGATTTTCAAAAAATGTTAGTTATTAATAAGTTTAATAAGTTTAATCTCATATAGAATGTTTATACCGAACGTTTAATACGCGTATCAATTAGTAACTTTATATCTAATTATTTTAATTTCGGCGATACAATATATTCAATTAATACGTCACAGCTTTCTAATCAATATTGCACTACTTCAATATCACGTTGTTTACATATATCGCCGAAATTAAAATAATTTAACATAAAATTACTGATTGGTACACGTATTAAACGTTCGGTATAAACATTCTATATGAGATTAAACTTATTAATAACTAACATTGTTTGAAAATCAACTACCTGATGCTCACGTTATCCGCTATGCTACTTTAGCTAACTCTAACGGGAGCGGTGCACTTGGACACGGTGCATTTGGACACAGCCAATCACAGCACCGTGTGATTAGAGACATTTGTAGGGTCCCTTGGAACAGCGACTTGTGATTGGACTGTGTCCAATTGCCCCGTATCCAACTGATATACACCCAACTCTAACTAATAGCGAATTCGGTAGCTTGCACTAGTGCGCACTGAGTGCGCATTAAGGCTTGTTTACAGTACATTCTTATATTTAAGATCGTGTCTTAAATACATATTTAAGAACATTTTAGCTAATAAAATGATTCGTACGGATGTTATACATATCATATTATGGTTAAAAATATTTGAGAATTTATTTGAGAATTATTTAAGACAATCTTTAAATATAATAACATACTATGAACAAGCCTTAGTGCGCACTCAGTGCACACTAGTGCAAGCAACCGAATTCGCTATTA